CAACAAAAGATGTTGTGTCCGCCGAGAACTAAAAAATAAATATTAAAAATTCTCTCTCCTCTCACTCTCTCTTTAAAAAAAAAATTATATATCTGATAAAGGTCTACTGTTTTGAATATATAAAGAACTCCTAAATTATACAACAAAAATGCAAGTCAAGTGAAATGGATAAAGGATTTGAATAAAAATTTTTTCAGAGAAGATGCAAGTGACCAGTATTCACATGAAAAAATTTTCATTATTAATCATTAAATACAAATCAAACCACAATGAAGGGATTGGGGTTGTGGCTCAGCGGTAGAGTGCTTGCCTACCATGCGTGAGGCCCTGGGTTCAATCCCCAGCACCACATAAAAATAAGTAAAATAAAGGCATTGAGTCCAACTACAACTAAAAAATAAATAAATAAATAAAAACCACAATGAGGGACTGGGGTTGTAACTCAGTGGTAGAGCACTTGCCTAGCATGTGTGAGGCATTGGGTTCGATTCTCAGCACCACTTATAAATAAATGAATAAAATAAAGGTTTAACAATATCTAAAGACATATTAAAAAAAAACCAATGCGATTTTATTTCACATCCACTGGGGTAGGAAGGAACAAGTGTCAGTGAGGATGTGGGAAATGCAAAATAGCGCAGCTGCTATGGAAAAACGGTCTGGCAGTTCTTAAGAAAGTCAAACATAGTTATGACTCAGCAATTCCACTCCTAGGGCCATAATCAAAGAGAAATTAACATGTCCATATAAAAATTTGTACATGAATGTTTTGGCAGAAGTTATAAATAGCCAAAAAATGGATACAAAGCAACTGTTCAGGCACTGATGGATAAACACAATGTGTTCTATCCTCACAATGGAATATTACTGAGCCATAGAAAGGAATGGAATCCTATTATATTCTCAACATGGGTAAACTTTTAAGACATTATGCTAAGTTAAGGCAGGCAGATACAAAAGGGTAAATGTTTGATTCCTCTTACATGAGTGTTACCCTCAACAGGTAAATTCAGAGACCAAAAGTAAATCAGAGGTCATGAGAGGCCTAATGGTTATAGTTTCCATTTTATGCAATGAAAGTTTTGAAAATATCCTGTGCTAGTTGTACAACACTGTAGATGTAAGTAGTGACTCTATACATACTGTGTTATGTACATCTCTCTCATACACACACACAGAAAGGAAAAAAAAATGAAGCAAAAAGAAGTATTGATACATGATATAGCACAGGTTAACTTTGAAAACATGCTGTGAAAGAAACCAGACACAAAAGGTCATATATTGGGGCTGGGACTGGGGCTGAGTGGTAAAGCACTCACCTAGCATGTGTGAGGCACTGGGTTTAATCCTTAGCACCACATAAAAATAAATAAAATAAAGGCATTGTGTCCAACTATAACTAAAAAAAATTTAAAAGGCCACATATTGTATGACTCCATTTATATGAAACATTCAGAATAAGCAAATCTAGAGACTAAGTAGATTACTTCTGGTGGAGGGTAGGAAGAGTGGTTGGGCAGAAATGAGGGTGATGGATAAAAAGTACAGGTACATCTTTTTGGGGTGATGAAATGATCTGGAGTTAGTGGCAATGGGTGCAAAACTTTAGGTATATACTAAAAGCCTCTATATTGTATATACTTTAAAAGGGTGAAGAGTATGGAACATGAATTTTATCTCAAAAAATTTTTAATTGAATGTCAAAGATAAGCAATAAAGTTTTTCTGACGTGAAACGTTAGAAAGTTCTTTATTATTCATTCTTATTAAGCACCAGCTTAATACTGCATAAAATTTCAAGTTATCCTTCAACAACTCACCCCCAACCCCCAAATTCTTGATCAAGAGCTTTTCAAGTAGAGTCATGCTCTCTTCTTGCTTCTGTATAAAACTTTAAGAGATAAAGGCAAAGGGTCG